GGCCAACACTCACGCACTAACGACCCTAAAACTCGGAGCTAAATAAACCTTTTCTCCTTATACATTGATTATCTCAGGAATTCATTATAGTGGCAGGAAGCTCACCAACACAGCGCCAAATCCAACTATTTTTTATTTTCTTTCACTTGTTTGTTTTATTCTGCTGCTGAAATTGCTCTAGTTCGGATGACTACAGGAGGCTCCACCCTGCGGGCGCCAGTGACCTTTCAATAAGCCCCCAGACGGACACTTCCTGACTTTTTGGCATCACAGGATGTCCGGGGCTCCCTTTGCAGCTCCCCAGCCTCAGCCCTGGAAGTGATCGCTTCTGCAGGGACCTCAAATTCCTTTCATTAAGAATGGTGTTTAGAAACCAAGATCTAGGTCTGCTTAGCAGACAGATCTAGGAAATATATGAATGGATGACACATTATAGTGTAGTTTATAGTATATAAACTACATTTATAGTTTTTAAAAAATATGTCTCTTGAGGCTTGATAGGCTAATTATGATATTTTTTTCATTTAAAAGGTATTTTTATTAGGGGCATTTGAGAGCAGTTTGTTTATTTATTAATTTTTGCAGTACCGGGGATTGAACTCAGGACCCTGTGCTTGCCAGGCAGGCACTTATTCTACTGAGCTATCTCCCCAGCCCAAAGTCAGTCAGTTTTAACTGTAGTCTTATTGTATATCAATTGTATAATAAAGTTTTTAGGGATATCTAGAAATTTACCGACACTAGCAAGTGATTGAAATTTCTTCCCCTTGTTCACATACACCCCCGACTAGTGGACTGGTGTACAGTGCATATTCACTTCCTCTACCCAGACAAGAATACAGAAAGTCCTTTCTTTACGTTATTCTCTGAATTTCATTCCCTCGACCCTCCCCTCCCCTCCTCTCCCCTCCCCTCCCTTCTCCTCCTTTTTCCTCCCCTCCTTTCCCTTCCTTTCTCTAGTTCTCTGTTGGTGCTTTCCAATGCTAACTTCAGTCAAAACCAGAAACACCTAGTGGGCTCAAAGAAACCAATCTCACAGTGGAAGGACAAGTGACTTTCTTTAGCAAACACTTCTCATTAAGAACAGGCCCTACAGGTTGCAGGTACACCTCAGTGCTAACGCACAAGGGCAAGGCCCTGGTTTCCATCTGTAGCACTCAAAAGAAAAAAGAATGCTGTGTACACTCCACACGCGGCTGGCATAAGCAGTGCCCACCATGGAAACTCATGCAGAGAGCTCTGTCTTCATCTCCCTGGCCCTCCCTCCCTTCAGAATGGCACTCCCTGTGATTACCAGCTACTTTTGCTTTGGTTTTTAGCAGTGCTGAAAATGGAACCCAGGGCCTTGCACATGCTAGGCCTGCACTCTAATATTGAACTAGATCCCTAATCCTTTTTAAATTTTAAGACAGTCCCACTAAGTTGCCTAGGCTGGCCTAAAAAAACATGTGATCTTCATGTCTCAGCCTCCTAAACAGCTATCTTTTGCTTTTTAAGCTTTCTTTTTGGGGCTGGGGAGATGGCTCAGTGGAATAAGCGCTTCTCTGGCAAGTGCAAGGGCCTCAGTTCAATCCCCGGTTTCGCCAGAAAAATAAAAAAAAAATAGAAGGGAGAGTAAACTTTCTTTTCTAGGGCTGGCTGAATAGCTCAGAGGATTAAAGTGCCTGCAAGTAGGAGCAGTGGCCAGAGGTTTGATCCCTGGGCATGCTCTGTGGTGGCATGTGCCTGTAATCCCAGCTCTTGGGAGGCTGTAAATAGGCAGATCACTCTGAGTCTGATCTAGTAGTGAGACCCTGAACACCCTGTAGACCCTTCTCTAAAATACAAAAATAAATAAATAAATAAATAAACTTTCTGTTGTAGAAGAATTTTTAAATTTATGGAAATGTTGCAAAGATGGTACAGAGGATTCCATGTTCCATTCACACGGCTCTCCTTAATATATTGTCATGAATATAGTATGCATCTTTTAAAACCAAGAAAATAACCTCATACAATACTATTAATTAAACTGCAGACTTTGTTCTGATTCTGCCACTTTTTTCCACTAATGCTCTTTCTATGCCAGAGCACCATCTTGCATTTAGGAAAACAACACGAAAAGGAAAGTTTTAAAAATTATTAAATGAATAGGTCAATATGCTGTTTAAATTATTTCAAAGTATAACCTCTCTGCCTTTTACTCACAAGGATGGCCTTAATTAAGGTTGTTACTGTTTAACTCATGGCCTACAAGCTGTCCCTTTCAGTGATTCACACTGATTCCTTTTTATCTATTGTGCCTTTTGTTGACTTCATCAAGCCTGAATTTCTTAAGTTCATATTCAATTGCTAAGCATATTTCAAAGCCTCTCTAGTTTTTTTTAAAGTTATACAAATTTCCACCCTCATTTACTATAATCATGTGAAACTCAGACTTATTTCAAACAAATATTTACCAGGGCTCCACTGTTTTCTGGGCACTATGATGGGTGGTAGCATAGGCATGGAAGAAGGCCTGTCAGAACCCCTGAAGGTGACAGCCACTAGACTAGAAGCAGCAGCTTCCAACCGTGGTAAGGGGCACAGTGTACGAAAGTCCCTTCCAATGATTGCCAGGAGGCCAGGGAACCTACTTTTGACGGAGGAGCACATAAGGATGCTCTGAGGAAGGGCCTTCTAGACTGAGACCAAAAACTGCACAGGACAGGAGGGATGAGGGCTGGAGGCACGTGACAGGAGAAAGAACAGGTGTGGGGTTATTAGGACTGCTACTTACAGTTCTTTCTCACATAAGACATTAGGGCTGAGCATCATATAATCCCAGTATTAGGGACGTTGAGACGGGAAGGTCACCATGAGTTTGGCCAGCTTAGCCTATATAGTGAATTTGAGGCCAACCTGCACAACACTGCAATTTGTTTTCACAAATATTTGACATAAAGATTGACACTGGTGGCTTCACTCACGAGTCAAATGGTATTTTTTTTTTTTTTTTTTCCCGCTCCGAATGCCTTCAAGGCATGACTGGCTGGCTTGTGTTGTGGGGATCGAACCACAGCAACCTGAGCCTGACTGCTTGGTTGAAGCAGCCACTTAAAGAACTGAGCTAAGGGGCAGGCACCCTCAAATGGTATTTTGAAAGAGAGAATTCTGCAATTTGCAATGATTGACATGCACTTAAAAATCTGTGATGCCGCTTATAAATGTTTAAACTTTATAATACTTCATGTTGATCTTATCCTTTTAAATTTATAATAAAGATAAGAATCAGAACACTAGAACACGTTTCATAAATATAAATATAAAATATATCTGCTTATGCAGAAATATATTTACCTTTGTTCCATGCCTCACCATGTACATAATTAGAAGAGCTTTGCTGAAAATTTTTTATTCATAGATAGGCAGGCAAAACATTTTTAAGGTTTTCCTTCAAGTGTGAATACACTTCTCAGCTCCATAAAGCCTTGTGTCCTCAACACTACCCCTTTTGAGTCTTGCTGCCAATAAAAATGAGGTTCTGCATTTCCAAACCTGTCTGTGAATTAGTGGTCAGGAAGATGTACTACATTCAGATTCCTGTAGGTGGAGCACGGAGCATTTGGGGGCTGTGAAAATATCCTCTAGGGTACTATACTGGTAGAAAACTGTTACTGCACACATCCAAATTCATGGACTGTATTACATGAAGGGCGAATCCTAATGTAAACTATGGACTCAAGGTGACCAGGATGTGTTAATACAGGTTCCCTAGTAATAAACATGGCACCTGAGCAAGGACTGCTGATACTAGGAGAAGCTATGTATTGTGGGTGTAGCTGGTATACGGGTAATCTTCGTACTTCTCTTTCAATTGTGCTGTAAATCTACAACTTCTCTCAAAGAATATAATCTTGCCTAGATATAGCAATGTATAACTGTAATCCCACCAACTAAAAGGCTCAGGCAGGAGAATCACAAATTTAAGTTTAGCATGGGCAATCCACCAAGACCCTGTCTTAAAATAAAAAATAAATAGAAAAGGCCAGGGATGTAGTTCAGTGCAAAGGCCCTCTTCAATCACCAGTATCTCTAAATAAATGAATAAATAAATAAATTTTTTAAAATTCAATATTCAATTTCTGGTCCTACTTTCCAGCAGACTCTCATTTATGTGGCCTGCCATGGGGCTCTAAAAGCAGTAAATTTTTTTTTTTTTTTTTTTGGTAGTACCTGGGATTGAACTCAGGACCTTGTGCTTACCAGGCAAGCACTTATTCTACTGAGCTATCTCTCTGGCCCAAAAGCTATAATTTTAAGGAGCTCTTTACATCACTCAAAGGTCTTGCCAGATAGCTCAGCAGACAAAAGCTCCTGCTTAGGCAGGGAGCAGTGGCTGGGGTTGGATCCCCAGGGATATGCTGGCCCTGCCCCCGGGGCACACTGAAACAGGGATTGAGACTGGGCGTGGTGGCGCATGCCTGTAACTTGGGAGGCTGAAAACAGGAGGATCACTATGAGCCTGATCTGTGTAGTGAGACCCTGTAGACTCTGTATTAAATACATTTAAAAAAAAATACTTAATGTACTGGTAAACATGGGAACCAGTGGTAAAAGGTGGCATAGAAATATGTCTGTAGGTACAATGTTTAAAAGTATATTTATTTGACTTATCTTATAATTTTCTTTCTTGTTCATATCCAAACATGCTATTCACTTACTTGTTTGCTTGCAGTTCGAACCCAGGGCCTCACAGAAGTGCTCGACCCTGAGCTCTACCTGCAGCCCCTAGACGAGCTCTTCAAAGACAATGAAGCAGGTCTCTGCTCCGTTCGTACTGTCAACATGGTGCTTGATGTACCATTGCTCAGACTGAATGCACTAGGGTAATGTGATGGACGTGTTGGCTCAAAAGTGAGTGTTTTAAAATAGGTAAGCCTGACTGTGAAAACACTAAGGAGACAGAACCGATGGGAGACAAGCAGCAAGGTACAATATGAAAGCACTAAATCTTTGCAGAGTAATTAAACATTTCCAACCTGGAACCAGAATGGTAATGGCTGTCTGCACGGCCTTTCGGATGATGCTGTCTAGGGCAAACATCCAGTGTGGCTTGATGTTATGATTCCGAAGAACTTTGTTGACCTGGGGAAAAAAAGTTTCATTTAGTCTTCTTTAATTGCCAATAACCCAGCACGTCCAAGAACTTGGATGAAGTTCTGTCTACAAAAACAATTAAAAGGTTTCTTCATCTTGAATTTCAGGTAATTTCTTCATGCATGACACTAGAAGGCAGATTAAAAATTGCCACTTCAAATTAAAGTTCATAAGCCTCATATAAGTAAGTAAGCTATTTGCACGGAAGGTAGTCTGGTCAAATGGGATTATCACTTCTTTTGGATCCAGAATATGGAGCTGCAAGCCAGATGTGCTGGTGCACACCTGTAGTCCTAGCTACTAGGAGGCTGAAGCAAGGGGATCGCAAGCTCAAAGCCAATGTGGGCAACTGAGCAAAAACCCTGTCTCAAAATACAATTTAAAATCGACAGAGTCTGTAGCTCAGTGGTAGAGTGCTTGGCTAGCTTGCACAAAGCCCTGGATTCAATCCCCAATATGAAGTAGGGAAAGGAAAAAGAAAAAGGTCAAGGGTCTTAACTGACAGTAAACATCATCCTTAAACGTTATGACTGCCATGTAACACAGCCAAGCGCTTCAGCCTCCTCTGTTAATGCAGCAAGTAAGGGGGACGATGGTATTTACGTGATACCCACAGGTCTGCCACCAGCACAGGGCTCGTATCCTTCTCACCCTTGCTCATGTCTCTACCAAGGGAGAATCATGTCTTACGGGAAAATCAGTTCATGGGACAATCTCTGTTGTAAGGATATCTTTTATTTTCTTTCTTTCTTTCTTTCTTTCTTTCTTTCTTTCTTTTTTTGTGGAACCAGGAATTGAACTCAGGCCCTTTCACTTGCCAGGGAAGTGCTTATTCTACTGAGCCATCTCCCCGGCCCCAGGATATCTTTTCCTACTGAATGGTAATGCTCTACATACTTAGACATTGAAATAAGTACATACAGCTCCTGTCTGTCCTTTTTTTCTTTTTAAAAATTGTAGGAAGGGCAACCACTTCGGGACCCATCCTATCCATCAAGAGGTGTCTCTCTTAATAAACTTTACTACTCTGAAAAAAAATAATTGTAGTAAAATTATACATAATGTAAAGTTTGCCATCTCTAGCCATTTTTAAGTGTACCATGAGTAAGATTAAGTAAATCTACTGTTACGCTACCATTGGCCATCGTCCAACCATGGAACTCTCTTCCCCTTGCAAAGCTAAAACTCTGAACCCATTAAATAATTCTCATGCTCCCAAAACAGTTCTTACAAACAACCATTGCACTTGTTGGCTCTATGAATTTGACAGCGCGTGGTATGTCCCACAAGTGGATCATATATCTTTGGCTTTTGTGACTGGCTTCCGCATAGCCTCAAAATCCATTCTTGTGGCATATGTTAGGATTTCCTTCCTCTTAAAGACTAAACTATATCCTGTTGTGTGTTCCCCATATGCACTGCACAGCTGCTACAGTCATTATTATTATTAATTAATTCATTTATTTAAATTTTTATTTTTTGGCAGAGCCGGGGATTGAACTCAGGCCCTTGTGCTTGCCAGGGAAGCACTTATTCCACTGAGCCATCTCCCCGGCCCCTATTATTTATTTTTTACAAACCATCTCTTCTCATAAAACTATGAATGGCTCTGCTAAGAAACCTTAGCAGAGGCTGGAGAAGGTGACCTGTCAACGGCTGGAGGGTGAGTTGCTCAGGGCTTCATCAAATCTCCAGGTTACAGGGGAGCCATGGAGATGACTCAGTAGAATAAGCACTTGCCTGGCAAGCATAAGGTCCTGAGTTCAATTCCTAGTTCTGCAAAAAAAATAAAAATAAATAAAAATAAAAAAAAATAAAAAAAATCTCCAGGTTACGAAGGGGGTCAGAAGACTTCCTCACATGGTAGCTGCTCCCAAGCAGGTAAACCATTCCCAGGTTCCCACTGGTTCCAGGAAATCCTTTTAGACTGAGTTTATCCTGGATCCTTAATTTCTTTCTTTTTCTTTTTCTTTCTTTTTTTTTTTTTGTGGTACCAGGGATTGAACTCAGGACTTTGCACTTGCCAGGCAGGCACTTATTCTACTGAGCTATCTTCCCGGCCCCATTAATTTCTTTAAAGAATTTCACTGATTATTTGACTAAAGTGAATGATACTTGCTACTACAGTTTATATCTGGAGCATTCTCCAAAGGCCGTGTATTACAGGTTTAATCCCCAGCCTATGGCAGTATTAAGAGAGGGGGAGGCTTTAGAAGATAGGCTAGTGAAAGAAATTAGTGCCTCTGAGGAGGACAGTGGGGTCCCAGCCTCTTTTCTCTCTTTGCTTCCTGCCTGCGATAAGACGAGCAGGCCTCCTCTGCAATATGCTCCTGTGACCAGGTTCTGTGCTATCACAGGCCAGCGGCAACAGGGTCAAAGAGCCATGGACTGCAACCTCTGAAACAAAGAGCCAAAGTGAACCTTTCCTCCTCATGTAAGTTGAACTATTTCAGGTATTTGTTACAGTGACAGAAATCTGACTGGAATATTTCTCTCAAGAGTCATACAAAGTGGAAGACGGATCTTCTAAAGCCACAGCCTGCTCCTTGCAGCTCATTACTACATGATGGATTCCACGTGGCCTGTCCCTTGGATTCATTCCCATCTGGAGCAGTGAGTTAGCAAAAGTGGGGATGAGTGCCTACATGTCTGTGTCTGACCTGCGCCCAAAACCTAGAATCACAACTAAATAACTCTCAGTTTGCATTCTAAGCCAATTCACTTTCCAGCTTCTAGACTGGAGCCAAATGTGTGGGTAAATGCAAATTGGTTAAACTGTCTCACTCTATCTAGAGATGCATGAGTTTCCCTTGTTGTAGGGTAAGTACGCCTTTAACATGTAATATTAGTGGTATGCTTTGCCAGTTGCATTTATTCCTTATGACCTCAATCAATTCAGAACTCCAGTCCCTGCCTCCCATATAGTATAAGGATTAAGTGCTTACATAGTGTCTCAGGAAACACTAGAGGCTGTTGAAGGATTATAATTTGGTTTTAATAAATTAGGGATCATTTGATGCTCCAACTGCAACTATAAAGATACTTTTATAGAGAAGTAATAAACATATTAGAAGTGAATTAATTTTGGGAATTTAAATAAAATTATACAATGTGCTCCCATTCAGACCACAGCCACCATGAAGAACTCTTTTATTTCTGACCCAGAAGACCATGTCAGGGTCGTCTGGGGCCCTCTTAAGTTGTCTTGGCACACAGTCCACAGATAAATCTTATCCAAGAAAAACACACAGGGTTTTGCATAAGACTGGCTTCTAGTTTGTGTTGCGTAGCAACTCAGTTCTAGAAGAATCCTCAGCAATTCTCATGTGGATTAATTTTTACTTAATGACAGTCAGGGCAGGACACAGTGGATAGTTATGAAATAAGCATGTTAAGAATGTTCTGTATGGAAACCAGGGCAAAACTGAAGGAAAATATTACTGGTTTTATTCAACAGTGACCATTTCAGTGTATACTGTTAAACTCTTCACATGGCCACTAGATGGCATTTCCTGTACAGTACTGGCCCACAAAGTTCGTGACTAATGCGTGCTGTGTTGCTAAAGTCACCAAACAGCGACCCAGTACATGATTTCACAAGAGGAAAGTTCAGTGTTTATTATAAGCTTTGCTGTTTTCCATGGTGATCCACTTTTATGTGTATCTGTCTTTGGGAGATGAAAATGTACAAAATAATAAATCTAATACTTAGAGGCAAACAGATGGGCCAATGTCTCACATTTGTCATCCAAAGAGAATAGCATCCACAGAAATTTTCGAAGAAGGAAAAGAACAAAACTTGAAAACTCCGTTACTAAGACCGATGTTAACAGAGTCTGTGGGAAACCATTGCCAAAATATCACACTTACCGCATCTTGGAAACCAAAGAGGACCACCTGTACTTGGCTGATGCCGTGGCTGTCAAAGTCCAGCTCTAATTTCAGCTTGGACAGTGTAGAGGCGATGATCTTCCGGTCAGTAGACCTGATGAACTCTCTGAGGCTCATGACGAGATATGTGATGTGCTCCCATTTTAGCTTAGGTTCTTCAGGTCCCTGTGAATAAAAACCAAGGCCCCCCAGTTACTCTGTGCTGCCTGGTCAGCCACGGGCGCACCACTCCCACACACCTCTGAGAGAACGGCTGGGCTCCCAAGTGCCTCCCATTAGAGAAGGACCGGGTCTTGAGCTTCGTGGTTCTTCTTTGCCATCATCTCCATCGCCAGCCAACCCCATCACTCAGATCCTTGGAGAAGGAACACTACCCTCACACACTGGTCAGAAGCCGTGATAGAGGCACATATGCAAGCAGGGATAGGTTAAGGCAATGTAATTCGTTTTCTCAAACATTTTAACTGGGACTAAAGAGAGATTCAGGCAATGAGCCACAGGATCTTCACCTCAAAGTCTGCCCAGGGAGAGGTCATAAAACAGGGTCGTGAATGCATCCAACTATAAAGAAACAAGTGAGATTAATGGAATTGAAATAACAGCTTGGGAGAGGAGATGTGGGAGAAACAGAAACGCACACAGCAGGGCTAATGATAGCGCAGCCAGAGAAAAGATGTGCAAGCTCCTAGAAGTTGAGTCCCTCGGATTTACATTCCGGTGCCAGCCTCCGGGAGGCTCAGCCAGGCCCTGTGGTGGGAATCCCTTGTGTCTCTCTCGGTGTGTCTATGTGCTGTGTCTCTGCAACCTCTACTGCCCTTAAGAGACATGAGTCAATTCCTTGCAATCAAAGAGAACCTATTCCAAACTTCATCCTTACCCAACAGTGACACAATGGGTATAAGAATGCTGTAAGAATGAGGGGCTGGCCAGATAGCTCAGCAGACTAAAGCGCCTGCTTAGGCAGAGTGCAGTGGCTGGGGTTCGATCCCCAGTGTGCCGTGCCAGCTCTGCCCCCAGGGCCCGCCGAGACAGGGATTGAGACTGGGCATGGTGGTGCATGCCTGCAATCCCAGCACTTGGGAGGCTGAAAACAGGAGAATCACTGTGAGTAGTCTCATGTAGTGAGACCCTGTAGATCCTGTACTATGTACATAAATAAATAAATAATGATGGACCAGTGGCCTTTTTAAAAAAAATTTCAGTGGACTTTTATATATTAAAAATATAATACAACATTAAACAAATTCCTGCTCTCAAGCTGAATTTTTTGTATTAGGCAAGGGCACTTTGCTTCATAAATGAAAGGGAATAGGATGTTATTCACTCTCATTTAACTTTAAGAAACAAGGCATCTTGTGCTCACTTGGGTAAAATTAAATTCTTCAACTGGGGTGGGAAAACTACAATTTCTAGGATTCTATTAAAAATGTACCAAGTTCATTTTCTCAGTATATTTTCACTTGGGACACTGTCTCATGTTGCTGTTTTCATGAGAAGAGACTATTTTGAAAAGCTTAAAAGCTGTCATTAAGAGTGTATTTTAAAATCAGACTAGGTACAATTATAAATTTTGTTTCTTTTTCCTTACCAAAACGAAATTATATTCACAGGCAAAATCATATTTCTCCATGAAAATATGTTCAAGGAGAAAATGTGAGTTATTTAGACATTGGAAGCTTATCTTAGTGAAAAGGCAGTTTGCTAACAGTTTAGACAGCAAACGTTTATTTTTGACATTAGCTAGTTTTCACAACAGAAAAAGGCATATGACTTCTAGTTTCTTGACACGTACAGCACTGTCCTACAAAGGAGTGCTGTGTCCCCTGGGAAATGTTTTCTGTCCTGGCTAATTTATCTGCTTCCATAACCACTGTTCCTGTCCTGCCTCCTGCCTCTCCATGTCAACCCATTTGTGTACCTTCATTAAGAATACCTGGGCGGGGGCAGGGACAGGGACGGGCCCTGAAGGCAGAATGTGAAGGTGGTTGTCTCCGAGTCCTCTGTGAAGATCTTCTCTACTCTTCATCTTTATGCTTTCTTTTTAAACACCACTAGTGGATTTCCAAAAGGTGCTACAGATCATTAAAAAGGAATCTCTCTCTCTCTGTCTCTCTGTCTCTCTCTCTCTCTCTCTCTCTCTCTCTCTCTCTCTCTCTCTCTCTATTTAGAACAGAGTCTACAGGGTCTCACTATGTAGATTGAACTCATAGTGATTCTCCTGTGTTCAGCCTCCCAAAGTGCTGGGATTACAGGCCTGTGCCACCACATGGTTTCAATCCCAGGGATTGAGCCCCTGGCCCCTGTGTCTGCCTAAGCAGGCGCTTTAATCCGCTGAGTTATTTGGCCAGCTCTTATCTTTTTTTTTAAATCAAGCTCAGCACTCTGCACTTTCCAGGCAGGCATTGTGCTGCTGAGCTATACCCCTAACATTTTTTTTTTCCCTGAGAATTTGCCAACATCCACATTTTTATTGTTATAAAGAGTAGGCTAAACTGTGAAAGTGTATATAGATGTATTAAAAACCATTAAAACAATTATTTCTGTCTGGTTGTACAAAAAGTTACAGAGCTTATAACTACTCTTGCCTGCTTAATAGTAACAACAACAGTGGCAGTTAACACTTGGGCAATATTTTCTGTTGTGACCTAAATCACCCATGAGCCCAGGGTCTCCTGAGAGCAATCTAAGAAGGTAGAGTCCTCAGTTTATAGAGGAAGAAGCCCAGCCTCTGAGAAGTTAAACAACTTACCCAGAGTGCACAGCCTTTCCCTGAGGGAACCAGCTCAAAAAATGCCAAGCTGAGCCCCACCTCCTAACCACCGTATTCTCCTGCTCCAGTTAGCTGCGAGAGCCAGCTGTAGATCTGCTGTGAATCGCACATGATTTCCCAGGAAGGAATTGACAATGGCCTTGATGTAAAACCGGAGGGACCCTCACTCCCTCCTGACCGCGCTGGGTTGGGCAGGCGACTCTGGTCAGCAGTTCAGGTTCTCTCCGGTGACTCCATGCGGGTGCATCGAGGCCTGCTTTCTGAGGGTTGCTTTCAAGGTTGTCTTTCATTTTCCCTTTTATGGAGAACATTCAAGATACTAAACCACTGAGTATGATGAACCAATTTCAGCCTAGGGGTATAACTAGGCCAGGGTAGAAGACAGCATAGCAGGTGTGAAGCCCAGGGTTCAGTAGCAAATATCAGCGCAGCCACAGAAGTGACCTGGCCATGGAAGTTAAAGGCACTGTCCAACAGGTGAGGAAGACAAAAAATCTCTAAACAAGTTACATTTTCTGTACTAGAAAAGCGTATTGTTGGGCATGAGCAATTCCTAGGTTCACTTGTTTCTGACCTAAAAATAAGAATCTTACACTAGAAGCCACGGGAGAAGCCTTCCCTTCAAAGTGCCTAATGGTGACTCCCTTTCCTCTGCCAACTCACACATCCCTCCCCTTCCCACCATCTGTCCCCATCTGGCAAGGTACTTCAGTTCTTTGTGCCTCAGTCTACTCATCTGTACAATCCGTGTACTAACAGAATGATACTGTAGGACTCTTGTCATAAGGGTTATGTGAACAAATATATATGAGACACTAAGGACAATACCTGGCCCACAGAAAATGTTTGCCATTGATACTGTAGGTTTAATACATAGTTCCTATTATTATTTTTTTATTATCTTATTTATTTATTCGTGTGTGTGTGTGTGTGTGTGTCCAGCTCAGCCCACCAGGGGGCGGGGCTGGCTGGCATGTGGTGCTGGGGGATTGAACCGCGGTCCCTGTGATTTGCTAAGTTTATTCTAAGTAGGTGCTTTAGACCACTGAGCCATCTCACCAGCCCCATAGTTCCTATTTTTTTCTGTTCATTTTTGCTCCACTAGAATGCCAACTTCAGAGGGATGCCGATTTGTTGCTGTTGTTCACTGTAGTAACACCATCACATGGAACAGGTGCTTGGCCTCTAGTCGATACTCTGAACTGCTTAAGGAATGAATGAACTGCAACTGCTGCCCACATGCAACCCTCCCCTAAACTTGGCTCCTCTTCGTACTTCAACCTATCTTGTTTTCAATTTTTGAATGACTCCTGTGTGCCTGTCGGCGTCCTCAACGCCCATCCTACCCCCAGCTCCTCCTAATGCCAGAGCACTGCTTCCTGGACCTCAGAGTAGTTGCCTGAGATAGCTTCCATCAGGACTGAGTCCGAGTTTCCCCTGAAATGCATTCCAGTCCTTTCTGTATCAAGTGACCCTACTAGCACACAGGCTTCTACCTCCTCCTGTGTGATCCAGAGGTGGCATTAGGGATTCCCAAGGAGATGGTATATTCAGGCTCAGGATGCAGCAGACAGGCCTCGTGGGATTCTCAAGATAAACACAAGCTGGGATACCACAGTACGAACCAAGAAGGAGACTGCTTTGTTTCATTTCTGTCTCAGTGGAAGAGCAGAGCAGGAAAGTCTTGGCCTGGGAGGCTCTGAGCAACTTCGCCCAACCCCTCCAGCTGTATCATTTAGCAGCTATTTTCCCAGAACAGAGGGAAGGAAGAAGCTATGTGCGGTCCACAGTGATCAGGAAGGACAGGTGGTGGCCACACAGACGGGGGCACAGAAGCAGGTGGGTGAATCCTAGTCACCCACGAAACTAAAGGATGGTAAGTATATGGAGAACAGAGGGTCTATCAAAGGCTTGTATGCACAAGAGACCTGGGCTTCTACTCCCAGGGGCTTGGAACTGAGGGAAACACTGGTTCTACTGCATTTGGCTTGAGGAAGGGATTTTTTCTCATTTCTGTGTGCAGAATCCAGGGAACATGTCTACCAAGGTGAAATGGACCAGAATGTGTACTACTTCATGCGTCAACATAAACTCCCAGTTATGTATCTGGAAATAGGACCTTTAAAGGGATAACTGGGTCAAGTGAAGCCATGGGTGAAGCCCTAATCCAGCTGAACCCGTATCTTACGTCCTTGTAAGGAGAAGGGACATTGGGGTTCTGCACATGGACAGAAAATAATGCCACTGGAAGACACAGAGAGAAGGCAGCCTCCTACAACCAACAAGAGAGCCACAGGAGAAACCAAGCCTGCCAAAAGCTGGACCTTGGACTTCCAGCCTCCAGGCCTATGGGAAAATAAATTTCTGTGGTGTAAGGTACCTGGTCAGTGGCATTTTGTTCCGGAAGCCACAGCACACTAAGACACCAGAGGGGGCTGGGGAGATGGCTCAGTGGAATAAGCACTTCCCTGGCAAGCGCAACAGCCTGAGTTCAATCCCCGGTTCCACCAAAAACAAAACAAAACAAATTACTATTCTGGGGCTGGAGAGATGGCTCAGTGGTCTAAAGCACCTACTTAGAACAAGCTTAGCAAAGCATCGGGGACCGCGGTTCAATCCCCCAGCACCACATGCCAGCCAGCCCCGCCCCCTGGTGGGCTGAGCTGGCCACACACACACACCACTCTCTCTCTCTCTCTCTCTCTCTCTCTCTCTCTCTCTCTCTCTCTCAAATAAATAAAAAAAAAAAAATTTAAAATTTAAGACACCAGAGGGCAAGCTGTTCAAGCACAATACAGACGACCTCCAACCGCATTACACACCTCAGTTGTTGCTCATCAACTTCCACTTGAATGTTGTAAATAGTAATGGCTCAAAGTTTGTTTGCTGAATGAATAAAATAAAGAATGAAAGGCAAAGAGGCCTACAGGGACTAGGAGGTGGCACCTCATCCACATGAGTGATTTGCCCCTGACTTAAAAATAGCGGACGTTCAAGACATACATTCTACATTAGGGACTTGACGTTTCATTTCACCTGGGGTGGGTTTGTTTCCTCACTGTGAACACTAAAGCTTCATTAGGTTTTCCTATCATCTGAAACAGCTCCAGACGGTTAGTACACAGTTAAAAGTACATCAATGGTGGACGAGCACGGTGGAGTATACCCACAGTAACAGCTGTGAGGGAGGCTGAGGCAGGAGTATCATAATTTCAGGCCAGTCTGGGTAACTTAGTGAGGCCCTGTCTCAAAATAAAATAAAATGGTCAGTCGGGTGCAGTGTGGTGGTACACGCCTGTAATCACAGCACTCAGGAGGCTGAGGCAGGAGGATTGCCGCTGCAGGTCTGAGTCTCCCTGAGCTACATAGTGAATTCAAAGCCAGCCTGAGCTACTTATAATGAGACCTTGTCTTAAAAAAATAAAATGGGCTAGGATGTAGCTCAGTGCTTCCTGGGTTCAAGTCCCATTACTGAAAAAATGTAATAAAAATAAAATAAATGCAATATGCAAACTTTGGGCAATGAAGGCGTGAGGAGGTTTACCTGAGCTAAAGACTCCATCAAGTTCCGCACCACCTTGTCTTGGTCTTCTGTCAGGATCCTGTGCAAGGTGGCTCGCCTCTCACTGTCCTTCCGCAGCATGAAGAATCCGGAATCTTTCTCTTCAGGGGAAGGGGGGGCGCTGTGATCTTCAAAGTTTTCATCTGGAATGCTGTAATGATGGACGCAGCATCAGTCAGTTTACTGTTGAAGCCGACGTGATTCCCAGTGTACTCCTGTCACCTGCGTAAGTCGGGTCCTTACCCTAGAAATAGCGTCCGTATTCCTTTCACATCTTTTTCTCCACAGGATTTCGCTCTAGTTTTGAAAGAGAAGGGATCCACCTTCAATTCCGTGTCAGGGGAAACAGAGCCGTACTCGCTGCTGCTGCTGGTGTCTTCCACCAGGACGGGCACCGGCAAGGAGATGCTGCGCAGGTACTCGGCTGGGATAGGCAGAAGGAAAGTCGTGAGTGCTCTGGAAACGTGTACATACTGTACTGAAATGCCTGTTCAGGGAGAACAGCATCATGGGTCAACATCTCACGGCAGCCACGCCTGTAATCCCCGCAACTCAGGAGGCTGGGTAGGAGGATTACAGGTTCAAGGGGGCAGCCTGGGCAATTTAGCATGACTGTCTCAGAATAGAAAAGGAATTGCTGAGGATGTAGTTGAGTGTGGTACCTGATGGCACCCCATTACACAGCACTATGAAGTCACACTATGCAAGGGGCTGGCCTGTGAGGAGGATGGGGTGCCTTGGAACGGGGATGGTGGGGGATACTGAGTGCACACTGTAGGCTCTGACCTGGTCTGGAGCTGGTCTGGTCTGGACCTGACTGACACATGTCTCAGCTCTGTCTAAAGACCCCTGTGAAAGGGCATCCTCTGCTAACAGAACTTGGAAAATCGATAGACTAGAGACATCTCAGGTCTTTCCAGGTTCTCAACACTACGAATCTACAGCAAACCTAGGCCCTTCTTTTCTTTGGATGGAGACTAAAGTAGTGTGACAGAAGTCACTTAAATGTCATCAAAAGTTTAAAGAACTTTTACCAGAAACATCTTTAATATGCTACAAGTGTATTTTACTAAACAAGGCAGATCTAAAATTATTATTTTAAGAGAAAAAGTCTGCTGTTGCCTGGAAACCCCTTCTTCCTGAATTCCTCTTGTGCTGGGCTGAGTCAATAATTTTCCAAGTGTCAAAGATGGGGGTGGTCAGTCAGCAGGTGGTGGGGTCCTCATTTTCCTTTTGTTCTTATCTTCCTGGAACTATTTATAAATTTTGTAACTTAAGATTCTGTATATATGTTGCATCATGTGCTATAAATACAACCTTAAAAAAAATACACAAACTATGCCATAATTTAATGGTAGTTATGTCTGGAGGACAGGATTTGGGATAAGTGTGATTTTCTTTCTTTTTTTTTTTCCCAAATTTTCTACTGCAATCAAATATTTCTAGGATCAGAAAAATGTTATTAAATCTATTTTCCATGAGAAAATATTCAGTAGGGAAGAACACACTTTACTACTTTACCTAATAATACATTTTGCAATGACCCAGAAGATGGAAGAAATCCCACTGCACAGTAGAAAATGGCATTACTCTGAAGATGCTGCTGCCCAGATATCGGGAGACTCTTCTACCCTGATCAGACTCACAGGGGGTCTAACAATGCTAGGAACATCCCAAGTCACACCATCTTGCAGGTGGAACACAACCCAACCTGGTTATATCAGAGATGCTTGTTTTACTGCTCCATCCCATATATGGGTCAGGTGAAGAGGACAGGTATCAGGGCAGTCCTCAGCTCTAGTTTCATTGTGGGAGATAGACTAAGTATAGCTTCCAAGAATAGTTGATCTCAGGAGGAAATGATCATACTGATTAGTAACTGAAAGGGTATCCAAGGACGAACTAGTTGACCAGGCTGTTGCTGTTTAAAAGGTTCTGTAGCTGATCATTAGGAGGCAAGAATCAAGAGTAAACCAAGGTGTTTCTCAATTTCCCAATTTAATATTGCAGTGTCTCAACTTTAAAGAGAAGTCCAAATGGCTTCGTTAAGGACATACAGCAGGAAGTGCCTAATAGCCTTTTACAGATTCACTGGACTACAGAACCCCTTTCTTCTAGAGAGCAGTTCTGGGGACTATCATTTTATGGGCCATATTTTAGGCTGTGCTCCTAAGCAAATGAATGGACTCCTGTTAATAACAGTAAGGTTGAGTGAGAAGAGAAAGGCTGGTTGTAGGAGGGAATGCTTCTAAGGTGACATTTCTGGGGCGGTCAAGGCTACCCTCTGCTCACTTCTGGAACAACAGCAGCTGAATTTGGGGGAGCAGTTTTGTCTACTTGGAAATAAGATGCTCATTGCTATAAGATGTCAAAGTCTTAAAGGTAAATATTGTCAGAGGGGTAAAAGCTGACAGAAAGCTGCCTGTCTCTTGGCTTGATAGAATAGCTGATCTCCTTCCTAATGGAAGGTAAAAGCGCTCCAGTGGGGCTGATTCTTGGGGACAGTCACTGATTGGTGATACTCTTGACTGTGCATGGGACAATCAGAAAGGGAGGCATGCATCATTTTATCTCCAAAACAAAACACATGCTTCCTGAGGGAAAACAGAAGCACTCTTCCTTGAAGGACCTGACTCCATGGGGTGAGAGGTCCTACAACACGTTTCTACAAGTGCATGTGTAAGTGTGTCCAAAGAAGACTGAGGTCTTGAATTATCCTGTTGTTTTTTTTTTTTTTTGCCTTTCTGGTCATATTATGTGGTCTGATTACTCAGTAATGAGAGGGCTTGTGTCACATCCATGATTTTTAAGGTTGCTATGGATACTGGCTGCCTAAAAGGAGATCTAAGATGGTAAAACTGTCCACGTTAAGGATGGAACCCAGTACCTGTTTTATGGCTTGTCTGGGAAACAAAGGGACCGAAGACGTTCTGCAGGCTCTATGCATACAGCCCTGATTCCTCCTCTGCTGGCTTCTAAGCTAGTGAATTTGCTTCCAGATGGATTCCTAGTCTCTGCATTCACTCATCCAGCATGCAGTTACTAGTCACAGACTATTTTGGAGAAGGGCAACCAACAGGATTTTCTGGTAGATTAGAGGAAGGATGAGAAATGAGAAATCAAAGTGACCTCTGGGTTTCTGGCCTTAGAAGATGAGTGGATGCATATAGTACTTATATATTATAATGAGAAAATAATATGGGCTGGAGGGGAAATTGGTTTTAGTGGGGAAACGTTGTAACTTGACAGGCTAGTTGGAGAAATGAAGAAAGGTGAGTCTGGGGCTCAGAAGATTGGGCTAGAGATACAATCTCAGTCTATGGTCACTCTATATGGTATTTAAAGCACAGGATGACTCAATTTAGGGAAATATGCAAAGAGAACAGAGAACCCAGCCCTTCAAAATCCCAGTATTTAATGGCAAATGAAGGAAAAGGAGGCAGCAAAGGAGAGGGACATGGAGTAGCCATGAGAATGGTGGAGAACAGAAGAAGGAAGCATCAGGGAAGACCACCCAGGAGACTCCTGAAGCATCAGGACCACCACTTGCCCTCGAAGCCAGAGAGATTAAGGACACTGAGAAAACTGTGTCAGATTTGCCTCTGTGTATCTCATCAGTGACCTGGGCCAGAGCACGACCAGTGATTGAGTGGGAGGGGAGACCTGGAGCTATTGGGAAGGAAGGAGGGAGACCTGGAGACAGTGTACTTCAAAACATGAAGCTGTGACAGCCAGCAAAACACCAGCACCAGCTCCTTGAAGAAAGAACCATCTTTCTCCCCTAGACAGGAGTGCCTGGTACTCTGGGCCCACAAACTGGCCACTCAGACTATTCCTGGCCACTTACAGAAGGTACTCTTAGAACTCACAGCCCTTCCCCTCTCCCCTAAAACAGAATGTGTGATAGCCACATACGACTAGTGGCTAACATACTCATGTACTAGATAGTAAAGAGATGGGATATTTTTATTACTGCAGAATCATAAACCCACTGCTAGTCTATATTCCAAGGTCAAAATCTTTTCCAGGCTCTCTGCCTCTAACCTTAGCATTTCATTAGGAGCTTTTTGAGATCTAAGCTGGCCTATCCTCCTGCCCAGGTACTTTAAGCACAAGGAGCGCTGAACCACTGGGTCCCTTAACGCACAGAAATGGCTCACACATCCTGGCACTAACTCATACTAGGAATGGCCTCACCTGTTAAACATGTGCTAGGAGTGGCCTCTTCCTATCCACCTGTTAAACATGCTCAACCTTATTTATGAGGTCCTGCTCCTTGGGAAAATCTTCCTGGAGACCACACACTGACTTCAAACACTCTTTTCCCCAATACCCTCTGTACAGTCTAAATTATACCCTCTGTACAGTCTAAATTACACTATAAGGCAGATGACTGTAAGTACAACATAAGTACAATGTAAGCGCAACAGCTCTTTAAACGAGGAACTCTGGCATTATCATTCATTGGACATTCAGGGCACAGAACATTTCCTAAACACACACTGACTGCACAATCAATATTTAAGTGAATGCCTTAAACCTTCAAATCTGATTGTAGTGATAGGAGAGTGCTGTGGTATGAATGTCCCACCAAAACTCACACTGAAATTTAAATTCTATCATGAGATTAAGACCATGGTGAAACCTTTAAGTGCTGACTGGATCATGAGGGCTCTTCCCATATGAATGGATTCCTTCCTTTATGGATTCATTGATCATTGGGCATGGCTCTGTTATAGATGCAGCTCTCTGTCTTTCTTACTCATCACCTGAATGCCTTGTCTTGCCATCGAATGCCCTTTATTACTTGAGACTCAGCAGAGCAATGCCAGGGAAAAGGTCCTTCCCAGATGCCAAGGAGATACAGGTGCCTTGCTCGTGGACTTCTAAAACTGCAAGCTAAAACTCAGGCTGTGACTTATAATGAAAATAGACTAAGGCATCAGATCTCTCCCCAGAGAGGACAGCCCCACTGTCAGCTGTGTTCCTAAAGTAACATGAGCACAGGTGCTGCAGGTGGGCTCTGGGGGAGAGTCTGTGTTCTGGCCTGAAACGGGGTAAGGCCTGCAGAAACTGCTAGGAAAGGAAGAGCCCTGTCAGTATATTCATCAAGCTGGCCAGGAAATCCGGGTCATAGACACAGTTTAAGTTAACAGGAGGCCGGAAGTTCTCAGCAACACCCCAAACAATCAAATGGGATTTTCTCTCCCAGCTAGCACCGGGGTCATTCCTTCTGGAGGAAGAGAGGGAAGTGTCTATGGTCATTATGGAATGATGTCCCTCCCACTGAGAACCTGAACCATGTTTGAGTTGGGGCTGCCCATTCTTTCAGGTCTAAACCCCTATCTTAGGGAAGGGAGGCAGACCAAGGAGGAAAGGTCCCTGGGATGGAAAAGGCTCACAAAGTTAAGGCTGCTCAGAGGAGTTCTGACTGAGGAGAATCAAGCGAGCTCTTGGGAATGAGCAGTGTACGGCTCACAGATCTCACCAAGCCACTGAGCACAGTGGCCAGAGCAAGAGGAGGATGGAGTAAGATTGGTGAAAACCGTCTTAGGAAGGGCTTTCTGGGTCAAGCATTTTGCATAAGTGGTCTTGTTTAATCTTCACAAAAACCCATAAGCAGGTGGTCTCATTGAACCCACTGCATAGACGAAGTGACAGAGAATAAGTCATGTCTAAGGTCAACTAATCCACAAGGAAACCCAGGTCTGTCTCTAACTCTCACTGTCTGATTCCCTAAAATCCTAAGATTCTATAGCACCTTAAGTGGGATTAGACAGTAAAGCCAGTGCAGGCTGAATTTCTGCTGAATTATCCTGCGTAAGGCAGAGGAGTGGGGCAAGTGTGGACCATGCCTGAGCAGCCGTGCATGCATGGCCTCATACCGTCACTCAGCCTCAGGCCTGTGCCTCCTGAGAAGCTGGGGCAGAGCTGCTCCTTGCCAGTCCTGTGCCACTGGCTTCACAGAAGTTCAACACACATTACAGAAATATGTTTCCTGTGGACGAGAACCCCGCTGGGTAGAAGGGACAAGGCCACCATGGAGCGAGTTCTGGGCACTGCCCCAAGGCTATGCCAGGATATTATTCACTTTATTCTCTAAACCCAATCTGCATTGATACCAGCACGAGAGACAGCTGAAACTAGTAAACGACCGCACACCATACATCCAGAAAATGGCCTAGGAGGAGCAAAATCGACTTCTGAGCACGAGAAACCAAAGCAGGCTCTTCAGGACCTCCCTGCCCTAGAGAAAGATGGAAGAGGTGGGGGTGGGGTGGGTGGGTGAGGTCTCTCCTCAGAGTTGCTGAAGAAAAACTGAAGAGACTGTGCTCAGGAACTAATGGGCCTCCCCTGTGGGCCAAGCAACTTTAGATCATCTGAGGAACCTACAGAAATGTGCAGCCGGGCCCACAAAAGTCACACGTCATGGAACTTAGCTCCTCCACGCCCATCAAGCACTCACTCAACTAAGGAAAACTCTACAGGAGGTTCATGTTTTTACTCTTTGAAACACTTTAATTAATCTTCCAGGATCAAATCTATCTTCCTGGTTATGATCTCAAAACCACCTGGAGAAGTGACACCATAACTCCTGGCCTCCTAAACATAGAATGTGTTACCCCAGGGATGACAGACGAAGAGAGCTGGCACTGAAGTTTTCCTCAGGGAAGCCTGAGGTGGGCAGTTGGCTCCTGGATAAGAAAGCAGGGACTTCACTCAGATAAAAAGTTTCTAAAACACCTTCAGCTTGCATTAGAGGCTTGCAATGTAAGCCTTCCTCAAGGAAGACAAAGGTAAGGGGTTTCTGCAGCAATGAGCCCAGCCGGGCCCAAGTAACCAAGGGGCAATGCTGAGGCTATTTGTGAGCGGTCTAGAGTTTACGACATGGTACACGAACTCTCATTTCAGCAGGAAAGGTAAACACACTCACCATTTGATCCAGCTGATAGGGCTGTAGGAAGAAAAACAAACAGCAACATAAGCACACGTTGGCCTTGTTGTTAGCCTGAACAATCAACAAAATGAATGCTTGAAATGGGATCAAGGTCCTTTCCAAACAGCCTATCTGCCCATCCTCATCCAGTACAAACACCGAAATGCCAAGAACAAGTGGATCTTTTACTTCATTTTCGTTCTGAAATGAACTATGGAAATTATTACAAAAACACAATTTACTTATATTTTTAGGCCGCTATTTTATTGATAGACGACAGTCTTTTTCTTTTTCTTTTTGTTGTTGTTTTGGGTACTATCTGAAAAATGTCCAGATATTTTCTACCACCTAAAATTAAAAAGACACACTACCTAGATGGTTTGGAGGTTATGTAACTCTCCAACAGCCCTGTGGCTTGTTAGTTGGAATGTGGAATTTCAGCTCTAAAAGACCATATTTCACCTCTTTTATACTTTTAACCGCAGAATCTACAGTGGTAGACTGCTATAAACACTGGCGTATTAACTCTCTACTACACAAAGGAAGACTATTACGTATGCGGACTCAGTGCTTGTGTAACTGATAGTACTATGGCTTCCCACTACTTGACCCGAATGCCCGAGGGCACTATGCTTAAGTTTAAGCCAGTTTCCAGAGATTTCTGTAAACAAATTCATTTACTTGTGGCAATGTTTTCCATCTCGACACTTAGGATTTAGTGACTCTGACCCAGGGCCTCTTCAGTGCAACTACATACCTGAAAGCTTAGGTTGTGTCTTTTTCTTTTTGCTGGAGACTTTTAAGAATTCATCCATAAGTAAATCATTAGCACAGGCTCTCTTGTCAGGGTCTGGTTCAAAGCATTTCAATATGAATGCCTTGGCTTCTCCAGACATGGACTCTGGTATCTCAGGGTGGACTTTAAACATCCCCACCTAAGGCATAAACAGAGAAGAACAGAGTGTTTTCTTCTTCTTTGTTTCTTTGTTTGTTTGTTTTCTGTGGTACTGGGCATTGAACTCTGAGCTCTCACATTGAGCTATACCTCTCAACCATTTTATTTTCTATTTAGAGACAGTCTTCACTAAGTTAGTAAGTTGCCCAGACTGGCCTCAAACTTTCAATCCTGCTTCAGCCTCCCAGAGTGCTAGGCTTATAGGCAAAAACCAAACCAAACCAAACCAAACCAAACCAAACCAAACCAAACCAAACCTGGCTAAAACGCACAAGGTGCCTTGTGGGTGAACATCCCACCACCTCACCTCCTGATCCCATTACTTGTCCCCTAGTGCAGCCAGATCCTTTACTATCATCTATGATAAGGTCATGTCTTTTCCCAGGTATGACAAGAATGTGTTTTCTGTAGGTCACAGAAAGCTTACACACTGCTGTTGTAATTTTATCAATGATGCAGGAGAATTGTTAGCGTGAGACAGCAGAGAAGCATTTGAAGTAATAATGCATTCCTTTAAAATTTCAGGACACAGTGCTATACTGGTACTAAAAAAAAAAGGGTTTTTATTTATTTATTTATTTTTTTAATTGCAAGCACTCAGCTGTACTCAATGGCTACATGACAGGCACTGTGCTGTGTTTTCCATTTCTGAGTCTCATAGAATCCTCCCAACACCCAATGGATTAAATATTATCCCTCTGACACCACTATGAAAATAAAGCTCAAAGGGATGTGACTACATGGTTATGAAAAGGTAGACCTGGGATTTGAACTTTGATTTGTTTGGATTCAAGTGTCCATTCTTTCCCCTGTTACATAATTTGTGAATATTTTCCATACCTCAAATCATCTACATTAAGAGATACTTAAAATACTTTAAAGTTAAGTGAAAGGTATTTTACATCACAATGAAAATTTACTTTCTTTTTTTCCTCATACTGGGATTGAATCTAGGGCATTTGCACTAAGATGCATCCCAGCTCACTTCTAAAATTTTAAAAATGTTGAGACTGGGCTTCACTACATTGCTCAGTTGCCCAAGTTGGGCTTAAATTTATCACCTTCCTCTCAGCCATCCAGAGTGCTGGCATTATAAATACAAGGCAACATGGCTAGATCTTAAAAAAAATTTTTTTAAAGTTTTAATGATGTTTTCATGTATTTAGCATAGAGCAAATGTAAAGAAAGTTTTTCTGTTAATATATAGCTTATATAAACTTATTTTTATGTAATCAATAACATACAACTGACAATAATTATGTACCTTTTACTATGTGTTAGGCACTAGCTCTAAGTGCAAAGTATATATTATTAATATACTCCCAAAAAAACTCCTAAAAAATAGGTACTGCTGTGTCCTCATATTATTTTATTTTTTTATTATCTTCCTTATTTATAACACCTTATGTCCCTTCACTTGTCTTGCTATTAATAAACTTTTTCTCCATATGGTGAAAAATAGAACAACTGACATTTCTTGAATCACATAATTCATAAATCTCACTATAGAATGCCATAAACCTAGGGCTTTTAAAATCAGAGAAGAGAAAATTTAATAAGTTTCAAATAGTAGGTCCTCAATAATTGAGGGGATTTACAGAACCATGACATCAGTCATAACTGTGTTTGTGTGTGTGTGCATTTGTACAAGGTTGATTTCCATACTTTTGAGTTCCACCTCTGTAGGTTTATCACTTAACTGCAGATAAAAATTTCATCTGTACTGAACATGTACAGACTACTTTTTGCCACTTATTGATCCATAGCAGTTTAAGATTAAAATAAACCATAAACCACACAAATATGAAGATATATAGACTAATTTCCAACAGGAGTAAAAGCATAAATATAACATTGCATTAAATGTTCTTAGTGCACAAAGTCATTTATTACAACAACAAAGTTAACTGACATGATCACTCTAGTTAATTTTTTTAATGTATTTAGTACAGGGTCTACAGCGTCTCACTACACAGATCAGACTCTTAGTGATCCTCCTGTTTTCCGCCTCCTAAGCACTGGGATTAAAGGCATGTATCACCACGCTCAGTCTCCCATTTTACAGAGTAAGAAATTTAACTATTGGGCTGGTGAGATAGCTCAGCAGTCTAAAGCATCCACTTAGGCAAGCTTAGGCAAGCACGCAGGGACCACAGTTTAATCCCATGCACCACATGCAATGCCAGCTCTGCCCCCAGGGTGGGCTGAGTCGGCCACAAAAAAAAAAAAAAAAAAAAAGAAAGAAAACAGAACAACTGTAGCTTAAACACTATAGTTCACATAAAGTTTCACACATCTGGATCATGTCAGCACTGACTTGGGCACTGTCCAGCTGTGCTAGTGGCCACGTGATCTCACCTCTCTAAGACAGCGTCACTTCTCAGGCACAGCTTGGCCTGGGCTAACAGTGACAGCAGCATCGCCACACTAACAGGTAACGAAAGCAGCACTTCATGGTGCTGAGAGAGACAGAGAGAGAGAGAGAGAGAGAGAGAGAGAGAGAGAGAGAGAGAGACTCTTCTTGTCAAGAAGGCAGCTGTCTTTTCACTCACTCTTTCAGCTTGGGTGACACACCTCATTTTTGTATCAGGGGTGTGTCATTAGAGTGTCTTCCAGCTTGAAGTAAGCTGTACAAAAGTAGGATGTATGTTCTGTGCCTGTAATCCCAGCATCCTGGAAGGCTGAGGAGGGAGGATCACAAATTTAAGCCCAGCCTGGACAACACAGTAGCTCAGTGAGACCATGTCTCAAAATAAAAACTAAAAGTGCAAAGGTCCTGGGTTCAATCTTCAGTGGTGTATGTGTGTGTGTATATGTGTGTAACACACAGCCCCTAACAAGAAGCCATACACAAAAGGAATAAGGGCCCACAAAATGGCCAGTAGCTAGGAGAACATGATGGCACACAGGAATTGTGTGTGGTACAGAAGACCAGGCACGTGAGCTTCGCTTCCTGGGAGATGAGTGTCTGCTTGAAACTTCCTGCTGGCTTGACACAAAATGGGAGGGCTACAGGACTGGCCAGGTCACTGACAGGCCCAGTCCCCAGAAAGAGTGGTCCTGGGCTCCCTCGGATTCATTCGCACTGCAGCACCTCTTGATTTGGGAAATGGGGGCTGATTCCTACTCCCCAGAGTCACATCAGGACACACTAACAGGCAGAGTACATGTAGGAGAGTAAGACTCGGTTAAAGTAGCAGTTACACCTTTTTACAAATGGGCCTTCAAACAATTAGAAAAAGTATATTAATTTGGTTGAATTATAAGTGGATCAAAAATGTTCTTACACCTCCCTACGTGGCAAGCACTCAGACATCGCCCAAAGCCCTTGCCACAAGTCACTTCCCACACAGTGGTGTGTCCTGCACAGCATGCAGTCAAAGGAAAGGCAGTCAAAGGAAGGTAAGCGGATCTGCACTGTGCACACAGCTGAGGCAGACAGCGAGACATCCACTGTACGTGACAGAAGCACTGATTCTGGGGACAGCAAATCTTGAACTTGAGGGTGTTCTCAGCCTGGGCTTACTTAGGAATCTTTTTTAAAAACAAAACAAGACATACACAGACTTTCCAATAGCTATGAAAAACATTATCCATTTGTGTTCGAGATAATATAAAACGTAACCTTGAACATGGCTGCCTGTGGCTCTCCTAGTTCATAAAACGGTGGCTTTCCCGTGGCCATTTCAATGATCGTGCAGCCCAGAGACCAAATGTCTGCCGCTTTGCCGTAGCCTCGTGGTCCTTTGTCGATGATTTCTGGTGCCATGTACTGGAGGGTGCCTAGAAATACGTCAAACACATCACAGCTTCTTAAAGAGAAAACACGTGGTGGTCTAATTAATGGTAGTTTCACTTGTTTTACAAGAAGTAAACCAATTTTAAAAAGATGACTTAGCTCCTAACAGCTCACCTGTGAGGTCTAGCTCTTCGCTGTTAATAAAGGTAGAAATAACTTATATAATGGACTTAATCAGAGACACAAAAATATAAGCAGGGTATGAGTCGGCATGTTCTCAGCGCCTAGACAATGGAGGATAACGAAGCATCACTCCATTGGAATCTCTTTGTGGCTTCTAACCAAACTCTCTTTTGGGACAACAGAGAATATATCAACATATATTGTCTGCATTCAGTTCAAATACATGAAGACTGCCAGGGCTTCATACTTCTAATGTTTTCCAGAAAAATAATTTAGATTATTCATCCTTTTCCTTAGACTTATATTTCTCAATTCCTAAACTGAGCGCTTAGCTCTATGCTGGCGACCACTGCACTAAGTGAAAGAAGGCAAGCACAGACAGATGAATCCCACACGCTCCCGCTCGCTCGTGGAATCTGAAAGGGCCGACCTCAGGGAGGGCAGGAGTGCCACACTGCCTGCCAGCGATTCAGGAAAGGAGGGAGGAGAGTGGGATGGGGAAAGGCCGGTCAGCGGGTACTAGATTACAGTTATACTGAATAAGTTCTGGTACTCTACATAGGTGACTAGATGTAACAATGGGCTGTATGTTTTAAAAACAACTAGAATAGGTAGGGTCTTTTTTAATATTTTCAGCACAAAGAGATGATAACTGTTTCAGAAGGCTGATATGTTTAACATGCCTTGAACATTATACAGTGTATTAAAACATCACATGGTACCCCACTGAATATGCAAGTTTTATGTCAACTTAAAAAAACTTTCAAGTTATTCTCATGTCTTAATCATGATGGCATGGCTCTTCTCCTTCTTCTTCTTCTTCTTCTTCTTCTTCTTCTTCTTCTTCTTCTTCTTCTTCTTCTTCTTCTTCTTCTTCTTCTTCTTCTTTCTCTTCCTCTTCCTCT